TCATAATTTTAGGGGGGTGGGGGGGTTTGCATGGTGGCATATGGCTAGGAATCTAATGTGTTTCTCATAAGTTTGCTACATATGAACCGAGATGGCTAAGAAATTCATTTCACAATCATAATGCGTCATTCTATACGTATAATTGCCTGATGAAGATTGAGCATGGATTAGTGTATATTCCAATTAAAACCAAAGTTTTTTTTTCCCTCTAATTATAAAGCTTTTCATTACAGCCATTTTATGCTTTGTTAGAAGGAAGTGGGACTTTGAAATGTATCTGAACCCTTCTCATCAAGCATGTAATTATTCACACAGTGCCAATGGCGGTGCACGTGGATCTATTACTAATAACTTGCTAAGGCGCTAGCTCAGAGTTTTTCCTGAAGCTTCCGGAAAGTATTTTCGAGCCGTTTGACAGTTTTGTTCTTTTGTTTGAGATGGAGGGAGCAGTGAATTCCGTTATATTGTGATAATACCGCCTAACAGCCTGCCGAATGATATTAGAGGGAATTTTTTGTACCAGCTGTCTAGAGGCTGTTATTATGTAATTGCTACAAGGGAATAATCCTTTAATAGTGTTAACGGTCTGCGGGAAATTTAGAGTTTTATTTCTGTTGGATTACTTTTTTTTTAAGGGGGAATTATAGTAGTTTCCGTTTAAATGATTTAAGGCATATCCAAAGCCAATAACAAAAATGTATGACTATTGTAACTCCCTCCTCATTGGCCTTCCACTACACAGGCTATCCCCCCTTCAGTCTATCATGAATGCAGCTGCCAGACTCATTCACCTAACCAACCGCTCAGTGTCTGCAACCCCCCTCTGCCAATCCCTACACTGGGTCCACTTACCCAGAGGATACAATTCAAAATATTAACAGTAACTTATAAAGCCATCCACAACTATTATATTGCAGCTTACCAATCCTTAGAAGTAGTGGCTGCATCAGTTTTAGGGTTTCGTTTTCTTTATCTGGTGATCTGGCCAGTTACACACTTCTTGTCTTAGGGTGATAACGCTCCCTTCTCCACTCTATAGAGCAGTGTTTTTCAACCTTTTTTGTGCAAAGGCACACTTTTTTCATGAAAAAAATCACGAGGCACACCACCATTAGAAAATGTTAAAAAAAAGCAGTGAAGCCAGCATTGGACAGCAGCATTGCCAACCTGTCAACTGGCCTTTAGTCTAGAGCTTTACCTGCCAGTACTTCATTTTTGCCACAGGATGTCCTCAGTCTTCGGGGTAGAATGACACCCAGTCTCATACAACCCACTTTGAAAGCATGGACCCACCCCCAGCCTGTGATTGGACAGCAAAAGTAGAAGCATTACAGTGTTGAGCTCCTCTCTCTATTGCTTTGCTTTGTCCTTCTTTCAACAAGCTCTTTGCCAGCACATAAACCAGTAGCCTTCCTGTGCTGCTTTTCTCTCTCCCAGTCTGAGATCTGCTAAATGAAGCACTCCAAAAGTAAAATTCAGTTATATACACTACTTGTATTTAAAGAAAATGCATGTAACAATGGTAACCCATATAAAGGTTAACCCTCATAGGGGTTGTTTCTACATGATACATAAAGACTAAGATTTAGCCTCCTGCCAATTTTATCATACTGGATGGTGTGCGTAGCTCTTGGCCTGTTCCCGTACTGACTGACCCATAGTGCCCAGGTTACACCTGCAACACTGACAGCTTTGACACCAACCCATAGGGTGTCCACTTCATTCTTTCAATGTTGATTCCAAACAGGAGCCCCAACTAATTGGAAGCTCTTCCCGTTTCTGGGCAAATCTCATTGGTCTTCAAGCAGCCTCCTGCTATAGGGATCAATCACACAACCTTTCACTATCAGCGATGGGAAGTCCTACTGCCACTAAATATGTATATACAGGTGAAACTCGAATAATTTGAATATCGTGCAAAAGTAATTGCAGTAATTGCTGCAAAAGGGGCCCAAACCAAGTACTGAGTACATATGCATGCTTGTACTTTTCAGAGGTCCGATATTGTTCTATGTACAATCCTTGTTTTATTGATTGCATGTAATAATCTACTTTTTTGAGGTTGTGAATTTGGGGTTCTTGGGGTTTTCATGAGCTGTAAGCCATAATCATCACAATTATGACAAATCACGGCTTGAACTATCTTGCTTTGCATGTAATGAGTCTATCTCATATATTAGTTTCACCTTTTAAGTTGCATTAGTGAAATAAATGAACTTTGCACGATATTCTAATTATTCGAGTTTCACCTGTATATACACTGAGTGGCCAGATTGTTATGACCACCTGACGTTTGTAGGCAAATTAGCTATAATTAGCTATAATTTGGCGCTGAAGTTACTAGAGGGCCAGACCATTATAAATAGGGAAGCAGGTTGTTTACCACGACAGTAGAAGTGATTTGTTTCTGAAGATACGGAGAAACAACGCGATTTAATAGCCTTTGAGCGCGGGATGATTGTTGGCGCTCGGAGCCATGGAGCGAGTATCAGCAAAACAGCAGAATTCGTTAAATGTTCAAGAGCAGCTGTTGTTAAAGTGTTTTAAAACTGGACTGTCAGCCGAAAATCTGGGTCTGAACGTGCGAATTGTGGCCGTCAGCGACTAGTCAATGTTAGGGCAGAACGGAGAGTGGCAACAAGACAACAGAAGGGCAACTGGTACAAGACAACAGAAGGGCAACAGTGCCGTGTCAGATTCCTCGCATCACCTTTCAACATCTCGTGGAGTCACGAGGCGGACCAACAAGTCATCTCGTGGAGTCATCTCGTGGCCCAACAAAGTACAGATGGGGTGGTCATAATAATCTGGCCACTCAGTGTATATATACTGTATATAGTTACATAGTTAGGTTGAAAAAAGTCCATCTAGTTCAACCTAATATATATCAAATTCTTTTGTCTCACACCAATTCATCCTTGTTCATGGCTGAACAATGATTTGAAATGCAGTCTGGATGAAATTACATAGAAAGCCTGAACTGAGGCTGGATTGTGTATTCTAATGGCATGTATACATCCGAATGAATATCAAAAATTAGGTTTGCGCAATAATATCTCCTTGGCCTGGAACCCCTGTGTGTCCTATATTTTAGTTTGGAGATACTGGAGTCCACCTGGTTGCTCTGCACATACAATACCTGGCCTTCAACAGGTTCTTCCAGTCTCCTCACCTTGTTTTTATATATTTATATTACTACTATGAAAAAATATTATATTTCCCTTTAATTTAGAAAGTGTATACCTAGTTTGGAAATGGTAGCACAACACTTATATGCTGAACTCTGCAAAGCTTGGATAGTTTGATAAATGTCTCAGAAGGTGGCCCTGGGGGAATCTGGGCTGGTCGATCAATAACAGCTGCGTAGACGATGAATACCAAATTTTTACTGTATTGTAAGATGTTCAGGCCGATGTGCGGACTGTACAATGAGAGGTCCCAATCCACAACTTGATTGTTTTCCGGAACATCTTATGAAGACAAAGCCGCATTGTTTCTAACATGGAGAACAGAGGATTCCGCAAGCTGCAGTGTTTATGCTTTGTCTTAGGTTCATTTATTGGATTCCAAGCTCCTGTTTTTCAAGAACTTCAATGTGAAAAACTGCACATTGCTTTAAAGCTTATGGGCAGGAATATTTAACACACAAATAAATGCAGCTCTACATGCCATAATACTGTATAATCATTATATGTATTTTTTTTTTTAAACACAGGCAATTTAGGTACCTGACAATAAGTCTGTGCCAGGGCTGTGCTGTTAGGACTTGATTGACAGAATTATAAATCCTATGCAGGTAAAACAGCTCCCATGTATTTCATCTATTTGGCCGGAGTTTCGCTTTAAAAGGAGAAGCTGCTAAATAGTAAATAAATCAGTACTAAATCGACTATCAAAATCAGTGCTAAATGGAAAAATTTGAGGGATGATTTATGAATCATTCGCCCTGACATACGCTGGCTGAATGCCATTTGCAGCTAATTCTTACCACTAGATGGAGCTGAGGAGCACTGGAAATATCACTGTATAAATCATCCCCAAAGTGTCCCAGTACAAAGGAAAGAGTACTCAAGAAATCAATTTTTCTATGTGCACAGATTGAAGTACACTTTTTTAATATGACTTTTTTTAAGCTGTCTTTAAATTGTTTTTGCTAATAACTTTTATCATGCTGGATTATGCCATGAGATTTTTTTTTAAATCTATCTAATGTAATATATGCGGGATCACTGTCTGAGGGATTTCTGACTGTGAAGAGTATCAGAAGTTTTAAGAACTTTCCCTATCATGTTGGGAAAAAGTACGCTTGACATTAATGAATTACACCCATGGAAACACAGACTTCTCACATATTTAGTATATATACTTTATCTATCTATCTATCTATCTATCTATCTATCTATCTATCTAAATAGAGCCCAATTATCAGCTTTATATGTATGAGTATACAGTATATACATATGTGTTTGCTCAAGTTTCATAAGCCCTCAGCACTTTTGAAATGTCATTATTATAATTTGAATGTACAGTAGGTATTGTATATTGATTTGCATATACCTAAGTGGGTTTGCTTGTGTTCATGTGTTAGCACTTAGCAGGTTATGTATATGCAACATTTGTTCATAAACACTTAGCACTTTTGAATGTTCCTCATAATTTGAATATATGTTTCTTAGCACATATAACATTTGCATACACTTGAGCTGGTTAAATATTTGAAGTGAGTAGTTGTTGTTTTTTTTTTTATGCTGCACATTTTTATTTTAATGTGAACAGGGCAGCAGTGGTTACTTTCGGCAATTAAGTCTTGCTGATGGAGTATCCAAGTTATGTAAGTCAGGGGGCTTACAAAGTCCACAAGGTTCCACCTATAATTTAAGTATCACTATTGGGTGGACTGACCCTCTAAAACAAATTCTGTGTTCAGTTTAAAAATTTTTTTTATATGTATCATTGTACATCTATTGTTATATATCATTGTTTTCTGCACTGTTGTTTAGTCTACAGGCCGGTGGATCCAGAGTTTTGTGAAGGACCACCCGCATCCACCACTCAGCTCTGCAACATCCAATGCCCTACGGACTGTACGCTGTCTACGTGGACTGACTGGGGACCTTGTATCCATGAAAACTGCCAGGAACCTCAGGGGAGGAAAGGTATATTAGATTTCATTACTTTTATACAGTGAATCCTAGTAAATGATAAATCCACTATGAGCTATTGGCATACATTTACTTAGACTTGTAATTTATTGTATTTAGACAAAGAAAGTTTGCAAATAAATGACATTGGTAGGTTTCTTTACCTGAACTTTGGAAGAGGTTTGTACCATTTAATGTTAATGGTACAGTCTAAAGTTCCTTATAGGCTCCCCTGCCCAACTACCATGCAACGGAACTACTTCTAATCTGATGTAAGCCAACTTGTGAGTACTCTCTCTCTCTTTGCGAGCAGTTTTTCTGCAGTACGATTTGTTGACCAATGGCAGACTAACATTCTCCTTACAATCTTCACAATCTCTTTCTCATATTCAATTAGATCAGCAAAGTTTACCAAAACTGCCTAGTCCAAGAGAACAAAAAATGGGGATAGAAGCGCTGCTACCATAAGGAATTGGTTTTAAGCAAAATAGGAGAAACTTACCACAAAGTAATAGCTGATGCGATATCATCGACGAGGGGTGAATAGAAGACTCAAGCAGCAACACAGTGCTCACCAGCTGCACCTTACCCCCTCAGTCCCAACATCATCCAACAGCCCATGTCCACCCGTGCCTGTCACCCCCCTTCCACACACTAATCGGACCCACGCTCCCACCACCATCCAGCACCCCCCAAACCCTCAATTCCCCCTGACCTTCCCACAAGCACAACTGATTGTACACAATCCCCACCAGTGGAAGTCCCCCTTCTATTCACCCCTCGTCGATGATATCACATCAGCTATTACTTTGTGGTAAGTTTCTCCAATTTTGCTTAAAACCAATTCCTTATGGTAGTAGCGCTTCTATCCCCATTTTTTGTTCTCTTTGACAAACGTCGGCCACCCCGGTCCGTATTCCTAGAAGCTGCACACCTAGCGTGAACAAAACCCATACCCAATCACCCTTACCCTCGTGGTAGCGCTGTCTCAGGGGACTGCAATCCCAATGTTTCATTGTCTAGTCCAAGAGTCTACCTGACTTGAATATAAATCAAAATTGGCCTTTGGTTATTTGTTGTATAAGATATATACCTGGTAGGTTCTCAAGCATCAGCGTCCTCAATTCAAGTGCAACTGAAGCCAAAACCTTTTTTTTGGGTAGTCACCAGAACAGGACAAGATGGGAAATCTTCCAATGGGGACACCTGTTGAGCACAAGGGATTTTGCTTACTTTAGAGGGATTTTCTTTCACTTTCTGTTGTGGTTATTGGAGAGGAAGTGAAGAGAACTCTCCCTAATAGGACAGAGACAGCAAAAAAAAAAGTGACGGGGGTTATAACCCTCCCTTATGCTATCCAAAACTAAAAAATAGTTTGGGCTTCAATTCTACTTTAGGAATATAACATTGCAATCAATATCTGCAGCACCCTTGTTAGTTCCTTACCTTTCAGCTAAGGAAAAAGCTGCTTTCTTGGAGCCAAAAGCCTCCGCGGATAATAATAATAATTATACATTTAAGTGGAAACGTTCTGTTACATGAGAAATAAAATATTACCCTCTATATTATTGACTGAGGGAATCGTTCCAGTGCTAATCGTTTAAGGTTTATGCCTTTGTTTTTGTTTCGGCTGTTCAGATTTTTATGCACACTGTCAGTCCCGTCTTGTACTCTATTAATCCTATTTGCATTATTTAGTAACAATCTCTATTGCTTTAGGTTTCAAATTCCGGAGAAGACATGTCTTACAGCAGTCGGAAAACGCCGAAAGGAAGTGTCCACATTTAGTGGAATCGCTGCCCTGCGACGATCCTGTGTGTTATAAGTGGGCCATATCAGGGGACCTGCACTGCGTTCCTGAGAACGGGGACTGTGGCCATGGAAGATACCATATAAACACCACCTGCAGGGGGCAGAATGGTACGTTTTATACTTCCCTTTAATGTTCTCAGATTTAGAGCAGTGAAGAAGACACTTTCTGATGTCTTGGACTTGGCCTCAATTGTTGGTGTGCTTTCCAACCCAGAGAGCCAGCTTAGGGCCTTGTTCTGGAACCCCTCAACATATGCAATGCGCAGTGTAAAGTGTTCAAAACCTGGGATCAAAAATAATTACAAAACAAGACTTTTTGTTTTTTGTTTGTTTCATTTTTTCGACATTTTTAAATGATGGTATAGAAGTCTTCACCTCCTCCAACACCTCTGCGCACAATGTCCTTTGTGTTTCTCTTTTTGTTCACATTATTATTATGATTGATCTTGTGAAAAGAAGCACAGGGCATTATTAAAGAAACCTTTTGTTAATTTTCAATGGCAAACTTGTTTCGATGCCTAAATACAACTTATTAAGATACTGCATGCTATCGCTATGTACAGGATGTGATTGCTATTTACAAATTGTTTAATGAAGAATCACTAACATAGTATGTAGGGTTTAGTGACGTGCAGTTCCTGGCGTGCACGGTGAGGCATTCCCCCTGGGCCCCAGCACACTGAAGTCCCACCCCCTGTCTGCCAAAGCCCCACCCTCCAACCTGGTCACCAAGCTACCTGTGAAGGAGGGAGGAGACAGGGAGGAGCCTTCCTGTCCCTCACTTGTTCGTCATTGGTGAGGCATCAAGATCGATGTCCTAAGTGGTTTTTATTTTGATTGGACAGCTTGGACCAATGGCGCTTTGCCATTAGTCCAAACCATCCACAGAGCTCAAGCCTCTAACGTAGCATAGACGCTGTTGCAGTTCTTGCCTCACTAGGTTAGGTTACACAAGCAGTAGGGAAGCCCGCTGCTGTGTAACCTAACTTAGCTATCAAAAGTCGGATGCAGCGCCACCTGTATTTAACAGGCAGCACTCCATCCATAACAGGTTACACAGCGGGGAGGCTTTCCCTGCTGTGTAACCTGTAACAAGCCGCACTGATCGGAGGAAAAGCTGTCTTTTGAATCTTGAATCTGACAGCTTTTTCCTCCATAATACACCTGCCTGCCCTGATCTGCATAAAGACCAAGGACCATCCAATTTAACCTGTGTATGTGAGTGTGTGTGTGTGTGTGTGTGTGTGTGTGTTTATCTTACTCTAACACTTCCCATATCCCTGTGGATTCTGCAAAAGAAGACACTCATCCAGATGTTTCTTGAATTTATCATTGTTATCAGCAGATACCACCCCCTGTGGGAGGGAATTCCATACTTTCACTACTCTCACAGTGAAATACCCCTTGCAAATTCTAAGATTGAACCCCCCTCTCTTCTAACCTCATGTGGTTTCACCGGGTTCTCAATACAGTTTTAGGATTAAACCATTTGTTCCTAATATTGGGGTCCCCATTGATGATTTTGAAGACTGCAATCAGGTCCCCTCCGAATTGCCTCTTTTCTAAGTTGAATAATGTTAAGATTTTGAATGCGGTCTTCATAACTCAGGCCTTCAATCCCTGTAATAAACCGTTTACTGTACGTTCACTTAAGAAGACAAGAGGCCACCACCTGAATTTGGATGAAAAAAGATTTAATCTCAAACTGCAAAGCATATTCTTTACTGTAAAATTGTGAAACTCCCTTCCCCATGTTGTGCTATCAGCTGAGAGTATAGACCCAATAAAAAAAAAACTTTTAGATGCCTACCTCAATGAACGCAATATACAAGGGTATGGGTGGTCTTAGTAGATGTGAGGGTAGAATGTGATGTGAAAGTAGAATACAGTAAATAAATAAGCCCATGGGTATGTTGGCCTTGCAGGCATATGCATTCATAGGCCCACATGGGGTGTGTGTTACTCCGAGGTGAGAGATATTAAGTATTAAACTGTTTAACCTGTAAGTATCAAAAGATCTCTGGGTTATAGTATCCTTTGAGTCCAATCAAAACCTTATCCCATTCTAAGCCCTGATGAAGGGGGATTGTTGCTGTCCCCAAAACGCTTTGGTTGGTTTTTGATGGATCGAATTGTGAACACTTAAAGGCACTGTTATACTCTCATTTATTGGTTTGGCGCACCCTTATTTCTAAACAGAGAGATGAGCTCATCAGTCTGCTGCTTCTCCTCTCACTGTCCATTCGCAAGGTAGGGGAGAGACCTGTAAATTAAAGTGAAACTGCAGAAGAGGAAAATCAGGTCCCCTCCCCTGCTAGGCAGGGCTGTGCTGTAAGGGAAAGGGCAGTGTTAATCTCAGGACTGCATGGGCAGAAATCCTTTTGCAGGTAAAACTGTTCTTATATCTGTATTCAGCTCTTTGCTTCGAGTTCAGTGTTAATCCAGTTGGGGTTGTCCAACAATAGCGCAAGCAGCAAAGTAGTAACCGCAGTTAGTCATAGCAACCAGAATCTAGTTTATTGAAGCCTGCCCAGTAGGAAATTAATTCTGAAATGATTCTATGGGTTTGCATAGTTGGCCCATATCTACTGGTTTATTGATGCTTTGTGTTTCGGTGCCTTTAGGATTCCATTTTGTTGGTGGTTTCAGAAACTGATAAAAATGCTGATTTGTTTTTTTCCTGCAGCTTAAATAGGTCATCATTACTGTAGACAAATTCCTATTTTAGCCTGTGTTCTTGTTCTTTTGGATCATATAAGCTTAATGTTTAAATCATATTTCCCATATCTGAATCCACAGCTCGCTGGTGCAGAACAGATTGTGATTAACGATTGTCCTGGGAATCAGCGTGTTGCTTATTATGGTGGCAAGGGTTTCAGATATCTGTAATAAAAGTGAATTACATCCAGCGGGCTGGCGGGCTGCTTGTTCACGTAGGCATGGCGTTTTATGTGCCTCGCCACTCGCTGCATAAAATCTGGAACTTTTGATGCCAACTGAATATATTTTGATAAGTTTTGAATGTATTTCTTCCACAGTAAAAAAAATAATCTTGTTGAGTCATTGTGATCGTATATTGGGGGATCTTGTGTTTAGTATTTGCCTTTTGCCCCAGGAGAGTGCTGGCAGGGTGGCAATTTCCTCCCCAAACCTTAGAGTGTAGTCTTATTTCTGAAAATGAACATAGAAATGGTGTCTAATGTTCCACATACACCAGAATAACAGTCATTGTGTCCGGTAATAGATGTCACTGGTCTGTAAATACACAGCAAGCAGCTTGTCGATTTATAAGTAGCCCGAGAGGTATTTGTAGGCATGGCAATTCACCACCTATGTGTTGAAAGGGCCATTGGCCTGTAAATACATAGCAAGCAGCTCATCGATTTATAATTAGCAAGAAAAGTATTTGTGGGTGGGGCAATTCACCACTTGTGTGTTGAATTGACCACTGTTTGGTAAATACATAGCAAGCAGCTCATCGATTTATATGTAACAATAGAAGTATTTGAGGATAGGAAAATTCACTATATGTGTGTTGAATTGGCCACTAGCCTGTAAATACATAGCAAGCAGCTCATCGATTTGTATGTAGCAATAAAAGTATTTCTGGGTAGGGAAATATACCATATGTGCGTTGAATTAACGACTGGCCTGTAGATACATAGCAATCAGCTCATAGATTTTTAAGTAGCCTGAGAGGTATTTGTGGGTAGGGAAATTCATCATATGTGTGTTGAAATTACCACTGGCCAATAAATACATAGCAAAAAGCTCATCAATTTTAAAAAGGGGTTACATTTGAATAAGGGAGGGTATTCGCATTACAGGAAGGGTTAGGGCTGGTTTGAACTAGCCCAGATGGGTAGCGTTGACCAATACAGTCCCAGCGCAACAACGAGGCAAAAAGCCTTGTGAAGGGCCCATTGAAGGCAATGCATTGTGTTGGTGTGCATTGCGATAAAATAATGCAAGCATACATTTTATTGCAATGTAACATGTTACAACTTGTAGTGTTATTTAAGTAAAGTTAAAAAAAGGAAAAAAGGCAACCACCGTGATACACTATAACAACGTATCACAGGGCTTGCACAATGCACAGCAGCATGAATGTATTATGCACCCCAGGGTTGTTAGGGTTCCAAATAGGGTTAGAGTTGGGGCTACAGGAAGGCTTAGTTGAGGTTACATGGAGGGTTAGTGTTACAAGGAGGGTTAGTTTTGTGGTTACAGGGAGGGTTAGTTTTGTGGTTACAGAGAGGGTTAGTTGGAAAGGGGTTACTGGGAGAATTAGTGTCGGGGGGGTGGTTAGGATTACAGAGAAGGTTAGTTTTAAGGTACAGGGAGGGTTAGTGTTACAGGGAGTGTTGGGGTTACAGAGAGGGTTAGTGTTGGGGTTACAGGGAAGGTTATTAGTGTTATCTGGAGGGTTAGTGTTACATGAAGTGTTGGGGTTAGAGGGGGGTTAGTGTGGCGGTTACCTGGAGGGTTAGTGTTACAGGAGGGTTAGTTTTGGGGTTAGGATTACAGAGAAGGTTAGTTTTAAGGTACAGAGAGGGTTAGGGTTCAGGGAAGGTAAGTGTTGGTTTTTTTCCGGTGGGTTAGTGTTACAGGGAGTTTTGGGGTTACAGAGAGGGCTAGTGTTGGGGTTACAGGGAAGGTTATTAGAGTTATCTGGAGGGTTAGTGTTACATGAAGTGTTAGTGTTAGTGAGGGGGGTTAGTGTGGGGGATACCTGGAGGGTAAGTTTTAGGGTTACAGGTAGGGTTAGTTGGAAAGGGGTTACTTAAAGAATTAGTATCACAGGGAGTGTTAGGGTTACAGGGAGGGTTAGTTTTGGGGAACAGGAAGGGTTATAGTTCATGGAGGGTAAATGTTGAGTTTACCTGGAGGGTTAGTGTTACAGGGTGTGTTGGGGTTACAGGGAAGGTTAATATTCGGGTTATCTGTAAGATTAGTGTTACATGAAGTGTTAGGGTTGGGGGGGAGGTTAGTGTGGGGGTTAGGGTTACATGGAGGGTTAGTATCAGTGTGACAGATACAGAATATGACAACACAGATCTTCTAGCACTGAGAGCACAGAGGTCTCTGTAATCTGTTATTTAGCTGAT